ATAGCAAATACAAACTGTTATCTAATGACTGTAGAGTTGCCTTGCTGAGCACAGGATCTGATTTTACTGCTTCAGGTGAGCACGCACCTGCCACCACAGGTGTGAAGTTAGTATGAATTTCATGTCTCAGCAGACAGACAACCCACCACTGAATACCATATGGAAATAGAAATGCCATTAAATATTCCACTGAACAGAGAGGTGGTGGGCTACTAAAATAGCATAAGCAATGTCAAGTGTGTTAGTCTGCTTGGGCGGGGGGGGGCTATTAGTCATTAGTCATGAAAACGCTTTAGTTTGTCACAGTCTTGCCTTGCAGAATGGAAATTTTCATTTAAGATGGAGCACCACGGGCTCTGCTATTTAGCCTATAATTAGCATATTCTCTGGAGGATTTTTTCTTCTTGCTGTGGAGTCCTCTTTGTCAGTCAGGCTTCTGTCTGATGATGAGAAGAGTGGAGGGGAGGGGTGGCACCAGGAATGGCAAGGGCAGAAAAATGTTTGCTCAGATCAAAAACATTTAGCTATTCTGCACCCACAGGGGCACGCAGTTATCTTAGTGGCCAGCTACGCGCATGAAAGTTAGTCTATTTATAAAGAAATTAAAAGAAGCCTCAATCCTAAGTTTGGATCTCATTTTGCTCTATGATATGGGGTAAGAATCCTCTCCCTGCAGCTTCACTCCCCAAATTCCCAGTATTTTTAGTTTTTACTTATTCAGCGGCTCTATGTGGAGCATGTCCATTCATGAGTAAACATGTGTTTCCACTCTGGAAACAGGGCTCCTGTGGCAGGCAGTCGGGGACTTGGTAATGACAGGGGAGGTCCCAGCGCAGATCTGCCCTGTGGCTCAGCAGCACTGTTGTCTTGGAGAAGCGTGCGCCCAGTGCCAGAGCCGACCTTGCTTTTGGCTTGTTTTTTGGCAAAGTCAGGCTGGCTGAAAATGGCTGCAACAACCTACATTTAATGTGGTGACACTAATGAATTCCGAGAATTAATCTTCAGTCATGAATGCCTGGTGAAAAGTACTAGAATTTCAAATGAGGTGATAGATTGATTTCCTTCAAGGCTGAATTGTACTCTATTTTTCTGCGGGTGGATTTCTCTATCATATTCAAACCACCTACCATGGCCTTGAGATTCAAGGACTCTGACACACATCCCTTGGTAGAAGTAATTTTTTTGTTTTGTTGCTTTGTTCTTTAGCACAGGGAAACCTCTTCTAAACTCAGTTCGTGTGTGTGTGTGTGTGTGTGTGTGTGTGTGTGTGTGTGTTCATAGTGTCTATACCAGAGCTTGAATTCTAGGCCTTGTGCTCTCTTGCTTTCTTATGACTGGTGCTCTGTTGCCTGAATCATACCTCCAGCTCTGCTTTTCTTTTGGGGGGCGGGGGGAGTATGATTTGGAGGTGGAATATAGTGAACTTTTCTGCTAAGGCTGATCTTGAACTGTGATACTCCAGATCTCAACCTCCAGAGTAGTTAGGATGATAGGTTTGAGCCACTGCCATCCTAGCTCTAAATCCAAATTTTAAAAAAAAGTAAAGGAGATTAAAATATTTGGTAATGAAAGGCTTATGCTTGTTTATGATATGGGTTTCCCAAAGCTAGTCTGTGTTTCATTTTTTTTTCTGGAGTGAAGGACTCTGGGAAGAACTAGAGAGAACTTGAGACATAGTCTTCTGCAGAAACAACAGCCCCCAGATAATCTGCATATGGACCTCTGGAAATGAGGATTCATCTCTCTGCTCGATTTCAAAAGCAGATACTCTTCTTGCAGAAGAGTATCCATGGATGTCATTTGGGGGGAGTTATTGATTTAAAAAAAAGAAAATATGAATATGTCTGTAACCAATTAAGTCTGGAAAGACTGACAAAATTAAGCAATTTTCTTAATTCTAGGATTAAAAATGTTTAATAAATACATGCTTTATGAAACTCAAATTTACTTGGCATAGAGGATCATCAATGCTTTCTAAATGTCCTTTCCTAGAAAACTAGTTTCTTCTCTTCTCTTTTTTCCTTCCTTCCCTCCTCCTCCAACCTTACTTCCCTCCCCTTCCCATCCATCCATCCATCCATCCATCCATCCATCCATCCATCCATCCATCCACTCATCCATCCAGTTATTCATGGAGTTCCTTAAGCCCATAGCACTTTTTCCAACTCACCTCACACTAGCGGGCCCCCATTCTCACAATGAGTTCAGCTAAAGTTGGAAAACAAGATATGCCACCTTGAATCACAAGCTATTCTCTTAAGGTTTGATAAGGCATTTGTCCCAGGGAGGAAGATGGGAGGCAACTCCAGATCACTGCCTCCTTCACATACTGTGAGCTTAAAAAAAAAATATTGTAAAGGTGATGTACAGAGTGGTTACAGCCGCATACGTAAGGTGGTGATTACCTTTCTCATCTAACTCGTGAACTTTTTAAAAAATTGCCACTTGTCCCTCCCTTCAGCCTTGGTTCTCTCGAGGCTGTGAGCTAGTCTCTGCTAGGTTTCCTCCCGGAAAAGGGCCGCTTTTCTCCGTGCCAGAATGCACATAGACATCCTCTTCCCTGCTTTGAGGAGGATCTCACGTGTCCTCCCCCAGAAGTCTCTGCATTACCCAGGTGTCAGGTGACCGGCACACCTGGGACAGTTACCTCCCTTTCTCTGAAGTCATATCCTGGATGGCCTGTCACCCCTGCTTCTGACTCTGGGAGGTTCCCAGACTCTGGGGTCAGCTCCTCCCCCCACCCTCTCCCTATACTAACCCCAATCCCACCAGAAGTCTCCCCCTTTTTCCTTGTCTGCCCCCTTTCCCTTCCCCTTCTCTTTTCCCCTTTCCCCTTTCTCTTTTCTTTTCCCTTCCCCTTTCTTTTTTCCCTTCCCTTCTCCTTCCCCTCTTCACACTGCACCATCTTGTGTGGGCCAGCAGCATGCTCTCCCTCCATAAACATGGTTTCCTTTCTGCTAAACCGTCCCCAGGCTGGGACGGCTGCCACTCCCTTACAACAAGTTCCTACTGATAGGAAGACAAAAATGCAAACCTCAAAGTCTGTGTGTGTGTGTGTGTGTGTGTGTGTGTGTGTGTGTGTGTGTGTGTGGTGTATTATGTGGGGAAAATGAGATGTAGGGAACACTTCAGCCCCAGGTGTCTGGGCTGAAGACATGAGAAAGACCTAGTATCACCTACCTGCTGCCACTGGCAAGTCCTAGAAGTGGCTCTCGCAGGTCCTGGATACCTGTCCCACCCTGTTCCCTCTGAGGTTCTAGGGGTACTGTGTAAGCCCAAGTCTGTCTCCAGCAGAAATTCTCAGAAGGCCTGTGTTGATTTTATTTTAGGAATTTTCATTCACAATTCCTCAAGCCAGAAGGAGTGCATCTGCTGGGTTACTGACCGTGGGACTACCCTTTGGGTTGCTTCTTATCCTAGAAAATGGGATGATTTGCACTGATTTCCTTTTGGCAGTCACATAGACAGATGAGCATCCATGAAAACAAGGGAAGACAGCTGATGTACAGGCAGAACACAGTCTTTTGTAAGCATGTGCACTGATTTGGTGTTGTTGATAGGAAAAATAATAGCTTATACAAAAGGCCCTGAACCTATAAAAGTCAAGTGATTGATTTCTTCCCATGGCAAGGAGGAGGTGGAATTTCTAGCCCTGTGAGCAGAGGGGAGGGGAGGCCTAGGTGCCATTGGCTTGTCTAGCAGCAAGCTCCAGCTCCGAGGGACAGGGAACCCCTGAGTGGATCTTCACCCTGACAGCTGAGCGACCTGCGAAGCTACCCATTCTCCTTCAGGATTAGAAGGTGAGGGGTGTGAATGTTTTATAGTAAAAAACTGCCAAGGTTTAAAACTCTTAGAAAATCTAACAGTTGAGAGTTGCTTTAAGAATTTTATTTAAAAGAGAAAAATAAGATAAAATGTATTAAAAAGGCCAAATAAAGGGAATTCTTCTTAAAGGGTCTAAAAAGAGGCTTAAGGAAATGTCAGGTGTTTTTTAATTAACATTTGTTAGCATATTTGATTACAATATAGTGGTTTAGATGTCGCTGGCAGACCATTGCTGGGAGCTCTGGTGCCATTTATGTCATGCGGTATTAGCTTGGGCCTGCAGTATATTGTAACTTCACAGGACAATGTTGAAATTTCTTTTTCTCAGCCAAGGCAGCTGTTCAGAATGGAAATGTCATGGTAATCGGAGAAGAATCCATCAGATTCCATTTCACTAGAAATTTCCTCGTGTCCCAGTCATTCTTTGTCACAGAGAGCATGCAGCAATATGTACTAAGTCATTGTTTTCTTGGAAAATGACATTGAATCCGAAACAGAAAGTAGTTACAACCCAATAAGATTATAACCAATTAACCGAAGAGGACTTTAAATGTGACCTGATTATTACTGTTTCTAATGGACTTTTTCCCACCCCTTTTGTATAATTCCATCTCAATTCATATGAATTACACAGTAGTCATTTCTTGTTCTGAGGTTTTTCTGCTTGAGAAGGCAATCCTTCCTTCAGAAGGAAATCCAGCTGCTGGACTTCCTCTAAGATTTCTCTAAAAATGCTCTAAAAGCATTTTTCTACCATCAAATAATAGACATTTCATTTACGAGGATTTATTTGAGGGGATGGCTCTTAATTCTATACGCTTCTAAAATAAATACACAGTCTAAGCAGCTTGACTGTTGAAAACGTTTTTCCGTAATGAAAATGAGAAAATTTTCTGACCCACCTATTTAAAAAAATATTTTGAATACTTCAAAGTAAACTGTTGGTTGCCTTCAATATTTACTGAAAACAAGCTAAAATAGATTTCTGATGTTTTCATAAAATTATTTGAGATTCCTTTTCTATTTTCTGGTACATATTGCTCGAGAAAGGGGTATGTCAGGCTACCAATCAGGTTTGAGGGTTTCTCAATGAGCTGTTTCACCTCCTGTCATCTTCATGGAGGAACAGGGCCTTGAAGATTGCACTTTAGATTGTTTGTTGATTTTTTAAACAGGTGTCTCATTAAAGATTTTGAACAGCGGCCTTCCGTCACACATCTCCTCAACCATCCATTTATTGAGGGAGCTCACAGAAAGGTCTTGCTGCTGCAAAAACAGCTGGCCAAGGTGCTCCAGGACCAGAAGCAGCTCAATCCCGCTGCTAAGACCAGGTAGGGCTTGGCTTTCCTATCTTTCACCTCTTCCTCAGGCTTGTGTTTTGACTTACGTGGTGTTATTATGGGCAATGATTGCACCCTTGCATTTACATGGTACTTAAGCATTCCTCTTCCAGGGGCTGGGGGCTATGTGGGAAAGGCTTCTCACACAACCTGCCCCTTGTGGCTAATTTGTCTCAAATGGCTGACATCTTTCTGTCTTCATGCTCCGTTAGCGCTAGTTAAAAACCAACAGATAAATGTGTGTGTGTGTGTGTGTGTATGATTTTTTTTTAACCAGTGGAGGTAATTGTAATCATGGGCTGAAAATGTGCAAAAAATCTTCACCTGGTTATTGCTGAATAGTAGGCTAAAGCTGGTTTTAGAAAGATCATGTGGTAAATAGTAGGCTTTCTTCCCCTTTTATTTTTAATATGCCATGAGACTGTTTCCTCTTTAGTTAAAAATTCCTTAGCATCAATTTAGTATTTTTAAAATCTTTTGAAAGTAGGTTTTTTCCCTCAAAATGTTTTTCAGTACAGATATTTAAATTTATGTTCCATGCTGCATCTCTAAGAAATAAATCCGTCCAGAGGATGGCAGAATTTCCCTTTAAGAAAAAAAATTAAATAAAAATACGCCTACTTCCTCTGCTGAGCAATTATTTGGTTTTATAAAGTGGTCATAATGCAGACAAGCTAAAATCCATTATTAGTAAAAGAACATTTGACATCCTGGAGGTGAAAAATCAAATCTCCTAAGTCACAAGTGCTGAAAATATTCATGAATTCTGCAGAAAACTGTTTACAAGTCAGAAAAAGCCAAACACTGACATTGGACCTCAAAGAAACTGGAGGTGGCGCTACAAGGTGACTCAGTGTTGCTGTTTTTCTTTTTCATTACTGCCAGCTTCAAAACAGACTCTGTTGCTCTTTCCCCTCCTGTGGTTTCTCAGTTGCCTTTGAGGTAGGGAAGTGCAGAAAAATCCTTGTCACTTACTTGGTGCCCCTTTTTGAAACAGTAGGAACTTGTGTTTAAGCCCCGGGGGAACTGAAATCCCTTTGATCCTTTGCTGTTTCTGTCACCCGTCTCCTTCCACCTCTTCAGGCCAGCAGCACCCCCTACCAAAATGAAGATGCAGTCCAGCAAAACCTAAACCAAACCAAAACAAATCTGGCACTTAAATGCCAGGGTCCAGCTTAGAGATACTACCTCTCCTGGTCCTAACATCTAAGACTTAGTTATACAGCTTTTCTTGTCTGGTTGATTCCATTCATGTATCCAGATCTGTGTTCTCGGTTTCATTCTTATTTGTTTGTTTATTTGTTTAGCATGCTTGTACTGGGGCTTGAACTCAGAACCTGAGCTCAGTTCCTGAGCTTTTTTGCTCAAGACTAGAGCTCTACCACTTGAGCTACAGCTCCAGTTCTGGACTTTAGGTGGTTAATTGGAGCCAGAGACTTGCATTTCCTTGCCCGGGCTGCCTTTGAACTGTGATCCCCAGATCTCAGCCTTCTGAGTAGCTAAGATTATAGGTTTGAGCCACACCTTGAATTTTGCTTCCACCATAGAGAATCCTGACTCCTTGCTCTGTCACACCCTTGCTGTAATTTTGCTTTCTCTGTGTGAACTCCTTTGAAGTCAAAAGACTCACAGGGTGGCAAAGTCCTTTCACAGGACTCATGGAGATTTTGTCATCTTGAGTTTCACTGGGAGTTTGTGCTCTTTGAGCAACCACTAGAAAAAATAACCTTGCAAATAGGTATGAAAATACTAAAGAATCCCTTGTTTAGGAGGCCCAGATAGTGATTCCAAAGGGAACACAATGCGTGGAACTGCCACCTCCTTCTAGCAACTACAAGGCATTGGCCACACAGATGTTTTCCAGCCTGGCAGAAAAACTCTCAGCCATCCATTACATTGAAACTTGCAAGGCTCTAGTTCAGGTAGTTCAGAGGAAGCAAAGTGAATTAAGGAGTAGAATGTATGAGGCGAAATCTACTTAGCATTTTGCATGATGGTGGCCACCCAGCAGGCAGGACAATGAGATACTCAAACCACTGGCTCTGCCGGTCTTGGATCCCAGATCAGCCACTAACTGGATGAAGTCCTTCCATTTTTCTCTTCAGAACTTGTCTTCTATAAAGGATAGAGTCTACATGTAAAATGTCTAGAACAGTGTTGGCTGTAGAGTGAACCTTCAGTAAATGTTAGTAGTGGTACAAGTAGTATTCATAGGACATGGTGGTACCTGCCTATAATCCCAGCTACTTAAGAGGCAGAGACTGGAGGAGGATTATGGTTTGAGGCCTACCCAAGGAAAAGTGGAAGACTCTATATAAAAATAAACTAAACCACTATAGGTTCAAGTAGTAGAACATCTGAAGTTATGAATTCAGACACTAGTACCACCACCATAACCGAGAGAGAGGGCGAATGGGAGAGAGAGAGGGGTGGGGGAGGGAGGGAGGGAAAGGGAGGAAAAGGAAGTGACATTCATGGCATTTCATTTCTTTTTAACACTACTACCTTTTGCCCTTGATCTCTGAAAATGCATGCCCTTACTTGCTGTAGAAGATTATATACAAATAAATAGTATTGAGGTACAAAATGTTAAAAATGTCCATTTCTATCTCTTCCTCAAATTGTAATGTATTCATTTATTCTTTGGGGAGACATTTATGTGTGTAGGTGTCAGGCTCTATGCTGAACAGAAGGACTGCAAAGGCAAACCAGATACAGTTCCTGATAGGGTGCTAATAGTCTGGCTGTGGTATAGACACGATCAGATAAGAGTAGCTTAGATGAGAAGGTTAAAGATTGTCCCGAATGTTCTCAGAACACCTGGGAAAGGGCATAGACGCTAACCTGGGGTTGCGATACTTGGGGAAGACATTAATGTGAAAAATTGAGATGCGAGCCTGGCAGAGGCAGCAGCGTGCTGTGCCTCGCCGTCCTGCCTGCTGGACCTTGCTGTCCGTCCTGCTGTACCGCCACCACCGTGCAGAACCATGACTGCGTTGCACATCTGCATGGGTCTGTGCTCTTCCCTCAAGTTTGTTTCTTCTACCTTAACTAGAGTGTCAAAGATGATCTGTGAACTGTCCTGGAGAACAAGTTGGAGACAGTGCAGGAGGAGGCTATTCCAGGCAGAGGAGCAAACAGATAGAAGCACAGGGCTGGAGGGAGCATGGGGAACCTGGTGAATAATTGCATCCTTGGACTTGGCGGAGGCAGGTAGGAGGAAGGGACAGGTACACCGAGGTTAGGTCATCTAACACTTGTGCCTTAGGCTGTAGGTAGCCACTTAGAGTTTCAGGCAAGACTGTGTTCTAGAAGATCCTTCTGATTTTAGCATGGTGGAGGGACTAGAGCAGGGCAAAACTGGAGTGGGGAGGACAATTATAAATGGCAGAAGAGCCAGGTGCCCAGGCACACGCCTGTAATCCTAGCTACTCAGGAGGCTGAGATCTGAGGATTGAGGTTCAAAGCCACCTCAGGCAGGAAAAGCCTTGAGACTCTTATCTCCAATAACCCCCCTAGAAAACTGGAAGTGGCGCTGTGGCTCAAGTGGTAGAGCGCTAGCCTTGAGCTGAAGAGCTCAGGGACAGCACCCAGGCCCAGAGTTCAAGTCCCATGACTGACAAAAAAATAAAATAAAATAAATAAAAATAGATAAATAAATAAATGGCAGAAGATGTTAAGGCATTGCCAGGCTACAGTGATTGTTGGGATCTACCCAGATTGAACTGCCTCTCTGCCCTGGTCCTCCTGCAATCAAAGAGAAATCACAAGGCGTTGAGAGACAGAGACCAGCCGAAGTACTGCCCCTGCTTCTTATCCTGTCAAATGCCTGGCCAAGCGCTCTCAGATCATTCACACAGCTTCCAGCTTTCTCAAGTTGAGTCCTCCGTGGTCAGAACAGTCCTAGGCCTTCCAGTGGAGTGACTTGTTTGGTTGTGAGAGCTGATCCACAGGAATGAGGCCTTTGGTCTCAGGGGACAGGGCCATTTTCTGCTGGGGTTGGAGGTGGGGAGTTCTGTCCCCTTTCAGCCCTTTGCCTGGGAGAGAGAGAGAAGCTGGTGGTTTCAGGCTGTAAGGAAGGTGGCAGGTGTTTCAAGGGTGAGGGAGACTTGGAAGGATGAAGGGGGAGGATGAAGGGAGAGAGAGTCGTGGAAGACAGAAGAGAGGAGATAATAGAAGAAGCAAGAGAAAGTAGATCAAAAGGCTAAGAGAAGGTTGGTTGTCTCTAGAGAGAAAGGATGGCTAAGAGACTAGCTGAAAATAACTCAGAACGACTGAGGTACAGGAGGTGGAAGGCAGGAACAGTGTTGAAAGGTCTCTATCTTTCAAAAAATCTGACCCAGGTGGTCTTGAGAGAGGAGTGTGCCTTTGCAAGTGTCTATTAAATATAGACACAGTGGTGGTTCAGAAGTACAGAAAGTCAGGTGGAAGCTGATCAGGCAAAGCTAATCAGCATTTAAGATAATGCAGGTAAAGCACTCAGCACAGCACGCTCATCACCTGGAGTGACTCTTAGGAACAGGGTGTGGGTGGAAGAAGGCAGAGGCTAGAGCCTGGCTTCCGTGGACACGATGGTGGATTAGGACAAGACAATCTCACCTAGGAGGACAGTCCTAGGGGTCAAGACAGTGGGAAAGTGAAGACAAAGTGGCTTATTGACTTGGAGGCTGAGTCAATCAAAGGACTGACAGTCACCATAAAGCTAAAGAACTTATTTGGTGGAGGATGATTGGAAAAGAGATTATGGGCCAAGAGTTGGTATAATCCCAACTATTCAAGTGTAGTTGGGTAGGATTGCAAAAATGGACAAAACCTCTCAGGCTGGAGCCTCTGAATTCAGACTCTTATTACCTGATGATTGTTCATGTTGGAATTCAACTTTTTCTGATAATTGTGCTATGGTGGATATTTCATTTAGGTATAATAGAGCAGTGTGAATCCAAGGTTCTCTCTCTCATGCCAGTCATGGGACTTGAACTCAGGGCCTGGGC